ATATAATTAGAATTTAAATATCAATATCATGACGACTTCGATTTGTGCAGAGACGATTGCTAAATGCCTTATCGTATATAAAAGTTCAGTAGGCAATGCTCTACCTCTGTACTTCAGCAACGTTCTTACCATGTGAATCGTTACCCAGACCCTATCCTGACACACAAAAATCCCGCTGCATTCCTTCAAACGTTCATTAAAACAGAATTTGGTTCGTTATGGTCGTTGTATAATGGGATCATTAGGAGAGCCTTAGTCAAGAATGTTCTATTTTAACAGATGATTGAGCTCAGCACTCAAACTTCTTTGTGTACGCGTCGTTTAGAGGCAGATAAATAATTAACTGGTGTACCCCCACAAATTACAAATCGTGGCGAGTTGAGAAGTTTGGAACCCGTATCCAGTGGACAGCCTCTTCCTTTAAAATATTTAACATCGCATTATATACACATAAACGTCAGTCAGCAAACACACAGGCCGAGTGGGCAATTGGCCGACACAAGAGGCACCGAGGTAGAGCCGTTGAGCCCAGAACTCCAGACTCCAGCTTCTCCAGGCCCCCGCAGATGAAGCCAGACCGCCAGAGGATGGTTGCTGGGTAATCGAGGGCATTTTATGAATTTATGTATTACTTATGACAAATAATAATAACAGCCAATACAATACTTATATTGGAATACTCAATGAAATCGATTAGCCCGATTATCTATCGGAGTAAATAATTATGGTACCTTAAGACCCCCTCGACCCTCTTGGGCCTCGTCGCGTTCAAAATAAAATCTCATTTTTCCAATTCAGTGTCGTATTTTGTTTTGTCACCTGTTATTTTGTATTTTTTTTTACACAGACGCTGAGGCTCTGAGTACACTGGAATTAAATAATACGACAATTTTGAACCGATATGCCTTGTGCAGTTGTGCTGGACATAAAATATATCTCTCACTCTCTCTCATCACTCTCTCTCTTTTGTGTGTGTCTGAGACGACTGTGAGTGTGTGATACATTTTTGATATATATATTTTTTCATAATGGCTAAAAATTAACCAGTCGTACGTTTGGTCTGATAACTCGTAATTTTCACCAAAAAAGGTGTAAATACTGCTTGAATTTCGATTTTTCGATGGAAAAGTGTAAACCACTGGTAGTTTAGCGATTGCTTTTATTCTCCTCCCCTAGATTCCATGGTAGAACATACACCCGGCCAGCAATACACACGAGTATATTTAATTAAATTACCAATGAAGGGTGGCAATAGGGCTGTAGCTGGTTGGTACTCTACATGAAATTTTAGCCGTTGTATAAACGCTGGTGTCTCGGTCGAAATTTGGGGCAATTTGACGATCGAGGCCGAACTAAGACTACTAAAAACCACTCATACCTTTCCCTTGCTAGCACATAGCTGACAGCGAACAAAAAGCTAGAGAGATTGAATGAGCTTCGCATATAGGGTCGATAGAGAGCGTACGTAACAGTGGAACACAGACGACACCTCCAGCACATACATACACACTATTCATCTACAACAGAATTGTGCGGACAGGAGAAAATAGTCCATCATAGTCTGACAATCACGAGTATTAAAGAGCATTCTTGTATGTTTGAAAATAGTAGCGTACCTGATTCACCTGGACAACTTAACTGCGTAGTATAATTTAAAGGACCAAGATGAAGTTGAGAAGGATACTCCCCTCATTGCTTATAAACATGCTTGTCTCACACATGCACGTGCTGGCCCAGTCTGCGAATGATCGCGTTTTAGTGCCTAGTAATTCCAGTTGGAGTTTGGCCGCATTCGAGGGCAATGTAGAGTCAATCGCCGGGCGCAAAGTGGTGTTTTTGGACTTCGAGTTCAATACAAGTCCACAAGATATGGCACAGCTGGGGACCACTATCGGTGGCTTTGTGAATGCCAATCGATTGGTTGTTTGCGCTATATCATTAGGTATGCGGATTTCTGATTTGCATGTTAGCACTATAGCACTAAGACTATATCTCTATATTCGCTCTTTAAGACATTTGTATTTACGTATTCCAGTATACAGGTATTGTGTGTCTGTATTGTTTGTACATGTTAATCCGACATGTATAGAGTGACTCAGATGGCAGTATGCTCGGTAGTACATAGTAGCATGCGAATCCAACGTAACGTTGACCGGATTGTACCATGCTCGACTATGCGCTACGTCGTGCGATCGGAGTGCAGATTGTGTACTCATAACTCATAACTATAGTCGACTGAAGGAATTATCAAGCGATATCACTTGTCCCTTGTGTGATATACCTTGTACACCTATAGTTCTGTTCAAGAATCGATGCGAGTTCTATAACTGTGCATGTCGTATGTAGATTGTCGTCCTGATTACACGTACTCTTTTTGAGCCTTGAATTATCGGCACTACTGGTGTCGAATATGTGCAAGTTTATATATCATCAACGCTGGACTAGTATTCCTCTTACCTGGAGTCCAGAATATCTATATACGCTAATTGCGTATACTTATACACATGTTTTCGAGTTCCCGTATATTATTTTCTGAACGAATGTCTACACGATCAGAGATGGTACGAACGGGGCAGTTTCAGTTTCAAGCGATTTAAATTAAACACAGTTTCATTTATGGTGCATGAGAAACATGCAGGTGTATGCACTCGTCAGATTAACATAAAGGCATTAAAGTATACTTTCATTCCTAAAGTTTATTTGCTGGAATATTGTAACATTTCATTCTATCACACGCGGACGAGCAGTTGATGCATAGAGGAATTTTCAAATTAGGAGCTATATCTCACAAATGTAGAGATATGTGGCCAAATGAATTTTTTAACACCTACGATTATCTTTATGTTTACAACGAGATATTTGCTGACAATCGGAAGATTTGCCCATAAGCAAGTGTATTTTTATGCATGATACCTGTTAGACACTCGAACCAGTCTATCGACGTAGATATCACACTTGTTTATTCGTCTATAGCTAGAAACTTTCACATGTACGCGTATACCACACATACATAAACATCTACTTCTCATGTACACAAAGCACATGTAAACGTTTCAACATACTTTTGCCTTTACCTCAGCTACATATATGTTCAAATAGTCGTTATGCACTATATGCCACATGGTTTCGTGTTGGCTTCGATACATGTGCGCAAAGTCACAACACTATGAACATGTTCGATCGTGGTTGCAGACGTTGACATGTTCTATCGATACCAATATGGCACTACATTGGAAAAATCCGGGCAAATTCACACATTGGAGTTATATCGATAGTACGGGCTTAAAAGTATCTTGATAGATTCAATCTAAACTATTGGGAAGTGATAAAGGGTTCAAATGGCTGTTTCTCGCTTGTACATGTTCGTATTACGCGCCATACTTCAAATGTATCTACAAGTATGCCCATGTAAGTATAATAACTTTGATTCCTTTCAATTTATACAAACGCACAGGTAATTAAATGAACCTTGTCTAACATACTACTATAAACAGGCGCAGTCAATCTAGACGACACAGACATCGCACTCTTCCCCGATGAAGTACGCGCAGACGAGGTGGCCGGTGCCTTTGACACCCCCAGGTTTTACCTGGATATAACGCAATTAGACCGGTTACAAGACCCCCTTACGCAGCGCATTACAACCGCACAAGATGCCGGGTGTCAGGCCATTATGCCGCTCCTGCTAGACTGCTCACAGGCAAGCTGTGTCAACTCGACAGATGCTGACGAGCTTGCGCAGCAGCAGATGGATTACAACATGTTTGTTATCAGCACAGCTCAGAATAACGGAGTTTCTGTGGGACTCTACGATGTGTTGTCATCGGTAAGTGCAAGTGTATTGCTGGTGTCGGGTGGGGATCTGCATGGATGAAATACAGTGTAATTGTCAAAAGTCGCAATAGAAAACTGCAAGTCGTAAGATACAGCAAAGTAGCACTATCATACTAGTATATGTCATATTGTGCTAGCGTAGCCTCTCGTCCATCTGAGACAGTTATTCATATGCATCTATTGCAACGAACCCCTCACCTTCACAACCATAAACTGAAGTCAAAATACATTTAACGAACCACAAGCTGAATTCAAGTAGGTGGGGTTCCTAATTTCAGGGCAGTAGAACCGCCAGACGATATCTCCTCACAGCCAGAGCACAGTCAGGAACTCTATTGCTCGTCTAATCAAAACATACCCATGTATACTCTATATTCACTTATGACAGCAAACCTGACAGCCTAAAACCAAATGTCTATAACCTCACGGCAATAATGTCCGTAACTATTTTTTTTTTCTTCTATCCCATGCAGGCCAATAGCTTGCCAGACGTGTACGACTTCGCTTACAGTCAGCAGTGCAACAATCCCGACGGGTTTGATGACTGCTTGGCTCTCTCCCTGTTCATCACAATGGACAAAGCGGTCTTTGTATTAGGAGATGCTTTGCAGTCGGATGATATCTGTACGCAATCGGAGAATCTCACATTCGGTGCAAAGGTAACAGACGATGCAAATAACATCATCGACTGCAACGCACCGGAGGACACATTACCAGCGACCGCTACAGTGGGTATGTCAATGTGCCTGCGGGTGTATGGGGTTTTATAAGGATCAGTGTCGCGGGTGTATGTGTGTTTACGTTAATCTATTTGTGCGGTAATTATGAATCACCTTCTCTTCAGACTAGCTTCTATGGGAGAATATTTAGGTCTGTGTATACTCTTAACGTTAATATATGTGTGCATGCTACTATCTTCTGGTATGTGAATGTTTGCTTCTGTCTTTAAATACATGGTCGTGTGTATGCTCTTATTATAAGCGCACGGTCCAATGCAGTACGGACATTCATAAATGCTCATGCTGCACCAAGTGAGCGAGCTTGTGAGTGATCTTGGGGGTCGCGATCACCATATCGTAATTGCGCGGTGACTAATCTCCATCATTCATATGATCCAATACAGGAGCCTCGTCTACTGACCCAGTTTCCGGGGATACCGTTGATGGCGGCGGCTTTGACTGGTGCGGTAACACACTGGGTGCGGTGCTGGTATTTCTGGTGGTTCTTCTTCTTTCCGGGTGTGCCACAGGCATAGTGCTGTGCATGAAGGCTCGCAATCGCCGCATTTTGAAGCAGAAGCAAGAGATGGAGAAGATGTTCTATGGCGTCGATAGCAGAAACGCCAGCATCAGCTCAGGGATAGGTGCCAACTCGGCCAGAAGCTCCAACCGCAGTAGCTTGCCCATGTCCCCGGCACAGAGAGGTGTTTTGCACGAGACTCGCGGGGCTACGGGTAATGTATAAGGTGCTGGAACGCTGCCAACTCATACATGTATATATATTATGTATATATATATATCTATATATGGCTTGTTCTCAGATACGCATGCATCAGCGATAGACCAGCAAAGAAAATGTATGTGCTATGCTTACTCTACGCCCTGCGAGGCTTTAGTCAAACGAGGCAGATCGCAAAGCCTCATGTTGCGAATTCACGAGCCAATTTATCCATAATGATAATATAGCTATAGATCTATGGAAATGCCTATACTTTCAGCTTGAAAGCTCGACTATCGCATGAGAGGCGCAACAGCAAAGCAGGATCCGATTGGACGGGGAAGATAGTAGCCTTCTAAGGATCATTGTCCCGGTTTATTGGCTAAAATTTCAGAATAACATATAGGAATATACAGTGGTAGGTTTAGTTGTACTAGCCGCTACTTAAAAGCGATGGAAAGGTATATTTGAATGGGAAAAACCACACAAATAAACTGATTCGCGACAGCATTTTTATTTGTTAAATTATTCAGTCAAAAGCACAAGGCAGACCGGACTTGTCATACACCAGAACATGAGATTTACACGGGACGATGCAACAAAGTAGACCTCACGAATATACGATGTCGAAGGTTGAAGGTTGATTGTTTTTCAAAGGCTAAATAGTGTTTCTTTCAAAGGCTGGTTGGTTTTTAAGGCTAAAGGCTGATTGTTTCAGAATAGATTATAATGTACAAATGTATATCATATATATACATATATTTATCATATATATATATATCCAGATTGTGTCCTCAGGTTGTTGTAGAATCAGATACAGGTTATTGTAGAATTGAATGTCACAACGTTGTCCGATCTAGACAACAATGTACATAAATATGACTTTTATTCATAAGAAATATGGCTGGTTGAATATGGTTCGGTCTCGGATATGGGGTACACAAATATGTCAATACATCGAATGATTACACATGCTGATGGCTTCAGAATTAACATCATCGAATTAATGAATACTAGTGTACGCATATCAATCAATATGAGTATGCTTCAGATTGCAACATATACCTATAAATATATATATATATATGATGAATCATGGTTGCAAATAAATGGCAAGCAATGCAGGGGCTTATTTAGATATCACATCACGACCGGAAAATAGTCAGCGTACATTTAAGCCATTTCAGCCCTAACCACCACTACGAATGGAGAAGTGACCTGTATCGCAATGCTTAGCCAATTCCGAACTAGACAGTGTCTATATGGTTTACAATAATCTGCCACTCTATCAGAACTAAACGGTATTAAATATGGAACATCCGGATCAGCACATCCGTGTACTGTTACATGGATCAAGTCAAGCGGCTATCATCGCAGTGTACATATCAAAGCCTGATTCTTATTTACTGGTCGTAGTATAATTGCTAGCAGGTAGTGCCTATATCAGGCAAGACCTTATATGTTCGCTGATGAATTAATATGTATTTCATCTCGTCTAAGAACAATTTTGCAATTGCATGCACAGTTTCATGCATGTAATATGTGCACGACAATAAATTTCCTTTAATTGATAGCACACAACATCGACAGCTTTATGACATTCGAGCTCGATTCGCAATGAAAACGTAAACGAGCAGAGACATAGTTTGTCCCTACAGCCTGAGATTCGATCTTCAATGAATGTGCCAAAATTGTTCAGGCTTTGAATAAAAGGGCTATACATACAGAGGTCTAAAACCTGATACACACAAAGAAACCAACCAAGAACCAACTCTACAAATCAGACTACAATCCGTTTGCCTAAACTCTCTAGGCTTGGGATACACGGCGCTCCTTAAGGGACTTTATTTACAACGGTTTTTTATACTCAATTAAAATGAACGGGAATCGAAACTCTGAAGGAGAACAGATCAGCGCACAATCTCGAGCGAGGTAAGTTAATAGGCTATATTTATTGCAGCGGTATCCTAATACCAGTAGTAGTTGCCTTCTAGCTATGGATAAGTTACAAAGCTCCGAGTCTAGCTCCCATCACTCGTTGGCAGAGGTTGACACGGTCGTTAACATCCTTTTGACCACTCATAGATATGCTATACCGTCCTTCCGACCTCATGGGTATTCTATAACGCCCTTTTGACCACATAGATATCCCCCCTCTCGCCGCCCAGCGTCAAGACGTACTCAAAAGTGTCATAGGTCACTGCAAAGTGGGTGGCATGTGTGCGATGTAAGTTTTACCACTAAGAGTGCCCTAGCGAGCGTCAAGATGAGTTTCTAATGGATCATATGCTAGGTATGAGCTGAAAGCTCTGTCACGAATGCTCTTAACAAGCGTCAAAATGTCGATAAGTGTAACTGAATAATCGGTGACATGAGTTAACAAGGACGCAGATGAAGTGTGAATCTAATTCGCAGCGCTCTATGATGTTGTAAGCGTTAGAAGCGTAGACGCTGTACTTTTGATGCACGCTCATGTGCTCCTCTAAGGATCAGCTACATACACTAGAAGTGATGAAAAGGTACATAATCACTGAATTCAAATACATATCAATTCTCTAACTTGCAATATAGATAAATCCTAGTAGAAGCGCAGTTGTCCAATTTCCTACAGAAAACAGGAATAGTACACCACAATATACAGTCACGGATCTTAGCAGAATATACACACGATGCAACACCCTAGCTAGCCACGAACACTTACAGCAAACCCGCTTGAGTGGCGCTCCGTCGAGTACACAGCCTGTGTCGTGTAAGATACCGATCATTGTTGACTGTATGTTCGGTCCGTCTAAGTCACCACTCGACTGCAAATAAATACATTCAATAATGGTTTACACAAGCCCGAGCAAGAGATTTGGACTGAGTGAGCCATATCAAGGTGACGAGTGTTTCGGACTGATTTGCCATGCATATAGAGAGTAGGCAGACACTAACGACAAACAGGAGTAAACATGACTAAATGCAAAAACGTCACCCACAGGAGAATCGAGCGTACGTTTGGCTTATGGGACATTAAACCCTCTCTAGAGAGGAGTGAGCATACACTTGTAATCGCGTGTGCCTAACAAGGATATCAAAGATCAAATATGGTAGAGGTGTGGTTAGTGAGTGAGAGACAGGAAGAATCTGAAGATATAATGATCTAACGTGCTATGAAGTTATCAAATAGGCAGGCGTATGTCTATCTCGCTGCATCTTGGGCCATGCTACGTCCACAATCTCCCTTGAAATGGAGAATCGAGTTGGATATAGACACAGCAGGAAATAATCGGATGTCGAGTATAAGAGATTCGACGGTGTTTGCTATTGTTAGCAGGAATCGTTAATCGCAGACAGTTGTAGTCAAAGCGGTACAGACAGAAAATTATCTTGCCAATTGCGTTCCCACTCTACAATGTCAGTTGCACTCATAAACGGACAAAAAAGGGGTCTAGATGACTGATATACAGCGGATTAAATTGAAGTGAGAACCAATTACCAACTACGGCCAAGGTAAAAACATACCGAAAGTACATCGCCTCCCCTCGAGATGATCATGGTCCCCACCTGATCTGTCACCCTTTGCAAATCGATAGATTGATCTGATTCCGCCTGAATAATATGAATTGTGCAGCTCGTGAGTTTGTAGCCACGGCGCGGAAGCAGACACTTATAGAAGACTACATCCGTCGACTTTATGAATGTATGCAATGGGTGAGTCGGGGAAACAGGTATGTAAATCCTCAACAACATAGTATCGAGTGCTCAGTCCACTGAAAGTGCCAATACGAGATCAACCTTTGCCTCGGCATGATCGATAGATATACTGATTACATCTGTAAAACCCACAACAAAAACCATACTTTCACAAGCATGTGATATATATATATATATATA